TGACACAGGGCGACAGCGACTGAGCAGGAAGCTGCTGTGGAAACCAAGTGGGGACTTTACTGATAGTGACAGTGATGATTTTGAAGAGGCTGAGGGCCGGTACTTCAGGGTGTGTTTCAAGAAGCTGCCCCTGGAGGGAGGTGGTAGGGAGGTGGTGGGGAGCTGCGCTCACCCCGGCCTGTCCCCCCCAGCTCAGCCAGCAGTCACACTGCCTAGACTTCTTTCTCTTCCTCTGCCGCCTGCTCAGCCCACTGCTCAAGGCCTTTGCACAGGCTGCCGCCTTCCTCCACCAGGGCCAGCTGCCCGATACTGGTGAGGCCCTTGTTCCCTTGCAGTCCTCGAGGCAGGCTGTCTGTGTAGGCCACCAGGTCTAGGTCTTCTCTTTTCCGCAGAGTCGGGCTACACAGAACAGCTGTTCCAGTTCCTCCAGGCCACCGCCCAGGAAGAAGGGATCTTTGGTGAGTCCCAGCCAGTCAGCCCAGGCTCCTGGAGGCAGGGGTGTTTGCTGGTGGTTGCTGCCCCCTGCCGGACGGTGAACCCAACTCTAGGAAGGCGGCTGCAGAGTTCAGAGGGTCTTCTGTCCAGTCTGAGCTCTAGCCCTCCCTGGGCTGCTGCTTTACACAAGAGAACCCTGTGCCCAGTGGCTCCCTGTCCTCCCTACCTAGAGCCTTCACCTCTCTCTCCTCTCCAGAGTGTGCGGACCCAAAGCTCGCCATCAGTGCTATCTGGACCTTCAGAGACCTAGGGGTGAGAGGAGTCACTGTCACCATCTTCTGTCCCGCTGTTCCCACCCCGATAGAGTGGCTCAGGGAAACCCAGCTACGTCCCCATCACCCCACAGGGCTGGCGTGATGGTCTCATTAAGACCCTGGGATTTACTTGGTGTCTTCCAGCAACATACGTGGTGATGGGTTGGAGAAGATGGGATGGTCTCCTGCCTCTTGGTCTCCCAAATCACTGGTTCATCCTTCTAGGTGGGGTATTAGGGCTGCTTTGAGGCAACTTTTGCACAAAACACTGAGGTCTCACGGCAGGTTTCTGGGGGACAGGCTTGGCCCCTGGGCCCGGTGGACACAGTCTCTGTGTTGAGGGTACTCATGGCCCATCTTCCATGGCCCAGGTTCTGCAGCAGATGCCGAGCCCTGCAGGCCCCAGGCTCCACCTGTCCCCTACTTTTGCCAGCCGGGAGAATCAACAAAAACTAGAACAGTTTATCCGGCAGTTCATTTGTAACTAGAACTGTGAGAAGGAGCCTGTGCCGAGACTTCTCAGCCCCACAACACAGCCGTGTCCTAGAGCCAGAAGACGGAGAGGAGGCTGCAAACCCTTAGCTGGTCTATAAATATAATCATTGAGGCTTGATTGTCCCTTGCCATCTCTTGCTTTCTCCCTCCTTTGATGTGATAAACAAGGGGACCAGACAGGTTGTCTTTTCCCAAGCCCAGGAGTATCTTTGTGGCGTATGCGTGTGTATTTGCTCTCTTCTTCCCCAGTCCCACAAAATGCCCTGACTTGTCCCATGAAACAAAGCCCAAAAGAAGACAAACAGCAGAAGCCAAGCTGCTGCTTTGGCCTGACAAATTTATTGAAGAGAGCTCTGTCCTCCTCCCTTCTACCCAGAAGAGGCGGCTTCCGGGCCGGCACCTGCCCATACCTGTCACTGGGCCTTTCCCTGGGCTAGGCTGAGTGGGAGCAGATGCCCCCATCCTATGTCCAGGGCCTGTGCAGGAGCCATCACACCACCTTGTTGATGATGACACCTAGTTCTTCAATCTCACACTGGACTTCATCCCCCTTCTGCAACAGAGCAGGCCATGAGGGTGTCAGCCCTTCCGTCAGACACACGCACATCCACACAAGCCTGTACTACTCAAGTCTGAGCCAAGCCTGCCAGGCCTTCGGGGCCCTTGCTCTCTTTCCTTTTCGCTAACCTACCTTGAGAAAGACAGGAGGTTTCCTGAATACACCGACACCTGGGGGGGTCCCAGTCAGGATGACATCCCCTGGGTAAAAGGTGACGAACCTGGAGCAAAGCCAAAGGACCCGGTGAGACCAGGGGCTGGCTGAGGTGG